CTCCCTCCCCTACCCCGGGCGTTATGCATACGGGCCTTTGTTGCGTTCATGGCGAGCTCTTTCGTCTGCCCTCTATCCTTTTCGCGGTGTGATGCCTATTTGAGGAGACGCAGATAGAAAACGACAAAAACGCTGGGTCTTTACACTTGAAGACAACAATGTGAGGGGTCAAACGATACGTGAATACCTTTCGGCTTCTCAAACCGTCATCTTCATTAGAATAATCACATTGGGTAAATTGGGTACACATTCTACAGCTTTCTTCCGTCACATGCAGTTCCTTGGCAATTTTTCCTCAAAATCGCCTCTTTCCTCAGATGTTGGCTTTTCAAACCACTATGCTGAATCTGCTTTCCATTTTCCGAACATCATTCTATTCCTTTTATAGGTAATTAAAGTAAAGTCAGCTAGCTCCTTTACTTATTTCACTTATTATTACTCCTAACAGGAAACCAGTTGAACAGCCGATCACGTACCTGTATTCAGAGGAATTCCCATAAGCATGCCTACAGAGACGACAAGTGGATGCAGCAGTGCTATACCGAAGTTGATGAGGAAGTTGAACACTAAACCGAAACAGAAATTTCATAAGAACTGAAGCGAACCGTAGAATTGAAAAGAGTTTGAACAAGCACAAATAAAACCCAGCACAGTTTCGGAAGTGGACGACCGTTACAAATGGTGTCTGGGTAATTTCTACTCAATTACCTATAGTATTTTGATAAAAAGTGAGAAGTACTCGAAAAAAACGTTCTTCGGCGGCAAAATTTGCAATTTCATTGGTGATTTGCTAAACCTGCGAGGCTTAACCCAGAGGTAACCCAGAGCCTACCAGAAGTTTGCTTTCTTATAACATTTTGCCATTAGACACTATGTATATAGTTGTGGCTTAAACTTACATAATGACAACAACGAAGCTCCAAGCAAAGGCGCCCACGGAACGTAGGCTATTTCCACGTGCTCGACATGAGTGAGAACAAGAGTCAGAGCAGGAACCCAGTTGAAGGAAAGGTTCAGAAATCCCAGGCATGTCATGAACAGCGACACTTGACCCAGATTAGCATGGCCCAGATACCGCTTGAAAAGTACCTGAAATCAAAAATTACTTCAGAGACAGAGTACTTTCAATAGCTTATATCAGAATGTTACATTTCGAATAGACACAAAGCAAATTAAGCACCGTTGGCTCAGCCGTCGAACGATATCGGTGTCTTGGTGAGAACATAGTATGGGAGTCACCCAGAGACTCCCCTCCTCGTTGGTTACCCAGATTGGAGATGAAACATTCTATATGAGAGGGGATGGCTACATAAACAGTTTGCTGAGCATAAGAGATCTTCTTGAACTATGTTCAACAGTAATTAGGACAACTCATTCGCATCAATGCGCTGCACCCAAGCCCATTGATTCCTTTCTTACAATTGATCGTTCATGCCTGATCATATTTAGCCACATATGAGCAGTGGGTGAAAAGGTAGTTGAGGGGAGCGGAGGGGAGGGGGGAGGGTGACAGCGCCCTCTTGTGCTCTGCGTCTCCGACACCAAGGCAGAGTGTACAGAGACCGCGCTAGAGCGCAGAGATGGTTTCCTCCCCTTTTAAAAGTTAGGGAAGGAGCTATGGGGTGGGAGATATGATTATCTCGTGCAAAAAGCTGGGATGGCGTGAAAATTGAATATCTAATCGGTTCACCCACCCCGGAGCTTTTCATAACTTTCAGAAGGGGAGAAGCTCCGGGATGGGTGAGATGGGGTAAGAATTGAAGAGACGCAGAGCGCAAAAGGGCCTGGCACCCCCAACTACATTTTCACCGAGTGGCGTTGTAAGCAGATTTTTTATTATTGAGTTATTAAGTCAATGTAATATAAATTAATCAAATTATTAACACGGGGCTCCACTATTAAATCGTCACCTGCTTATCCATGCGAGATGATGCTCTGGTACAGCTCCCAGGCAAATCCCAAAGCACACAAGGGGAACAAAGTGAGCGGTGCAGCACGCCATTCGGGTATGACACAGTGCGGCTGGATCTGTCAGGGAGAGCTGCGAAAACAAGCAAAAATGAGCATGACTATGCTCTGGCGGTCGAAGCCGGAACGCATGATGACCTTTTGAGTACATCCCATTCCCATTCTGGAGCTAGACCACTCATTTTGCGGGTACACCACAACCCAGGCAGAGCATTCTGACCTCGATTTCTTCATCGTAATGGTGTTGGCAAACTAACAGCGTATTACTACAGAGATGCATAGAAAATAAACGTTATCTGCAATGTACCTTATAAAAAGCAGCTGAGGCCGCCGACGTCACTGAAAGAACGACTCCTTGCCATTGAGCCCTCATCTCTCCACTCAGTGACATTACTACTACACCAGCCACAGCCAAAACTACAGAAAGCACCTAAATAGCATGAAATTTTCGGCAATCAATCGAATACTGGTGGATTCCGTGTTGTACAGCACCTTCATAGGCACGAACTTGTCATGTAGAATGAGTACGGCAAGGAGGTAGACCATAGCGGCATTGCAAGACGAAATCGATGTCGCTACACTGGCCGAGATATACAGGAGCGAGGCGGAATACGAATAGTTGGCTCCGATCCAAAACAGGAGAAATGGTAAGACAGTGGTTACCAGCGATATTGGGTGTATGCCTCGATCACCGAAAATCGAAGACGCATCCCTGAAAATCAGGCAGCATGAAGAAAAAGAAACAGTTTCTTCATGTGCGATAAGAGAAAACGGTTAGAATTTACCCTTACAAGTGGGACTTGCGTAGGTTCCTCCGACTAGCGGCTTCGTAGGCTAGGAAGACCGGATAGCAGAGTATCATGAAGCAGGTGTTGAACCACATCATCGTATATGGAGCGTAGAAATGGGCCTGTAAAGAAGCCGTACTGACGTTGCTCTAGAAATCAAACAGAAAATGGTCCCTGCAGAGCAACAGAGCGACTTGACCTTCATACCAAGTTCAAAGGGTCTCAAAGTAGGTCGTTCGACTAAGGGTACCTCTATGTATTCATATTCTGATGATCAGGAAACGTACTATTTGCAAAACTCGACACCACACTTCTTGTCACTTGAACTCGCCGACCACCGCTCGGTAACGCCTATCACTGACTGTCCAATTCACAGTTCAAGTCTACAGCATCTAGTGGTATAGTCTCTTTCTACAGCAATTTTGCAGTCTACGCTGAAGGCAAAGTTTCCATAAAATTGGTTTCTGTTTCCCCACTAGAACGAATCTTTAGAACCCAAGTACGCCATGCTGTCGTAGGTCGAAAAGCAACCTGGATAATGCGGAATACGAGGGTTGCCTTTTATATTTTGAGATTTGGCAACACTAGTGTAACAATCTAGCCAATCTATCGACTGACATTACTATCGTAAAGTTTGACTATTTTCAGGATATGTTGCGAAATTTGAGCGCGATTTGTGTTGTTTACACTAATTTATAAGATTTTGTTTGGGCCAAGTTATGGGGTTGACTCGTGAGCATTTTCGCGCGATTATTTCCTTCAACTTTCGACGTGGGCTAACTCAACAGCAATGCATGGATGAACTTAGTTAAATTTTTGGTGATGAAGCCCCATCCAGGGCCAGTGTTTATCGATGGTACAGTGAGTTCACCCGAGGTCGTAGTTCATTCGAAGAAGAATTTCGTGGAGGTCGTCCAAAATCAGTCGTCGTTCCGGAAACGGTTCATGCTGTGCACAAACTAATACTGCAAGATCGTCATGCGACCTATCGTGAGATTGAGGCAATCTTAGTCATTAGTGGGACTAGCTTACATTCAATTTTGCATAAACATTTGACTGTAAAAAAACTGTTTTTAAAAAATTTGTCAATCCCGCAAAAAAGGGACTCGTGTCGACTGGTCGAAAGAAATGCTCAAAAAATACGATCGCGATGCTTCGAAACACGTCTATGACATCGAGACAGGTGATGGATCATGGATTTATGCGTGTGAGCCCGAAAGGAAACAGCAGTCGACGGTATGGGTATTTCAAGATGAGCGAAATCCAACAAAAGCTTTCCGCGCACCAAGCACTTCCAAGCAATAGGACTCCTGATTTTTTGGAAAATCTGGACTTGTCGCAACCGTACCACTAGGACAAGCAGAACAGTCAATTATGAGTGGTATACCACCATTGGTTTGCCAGCTGACCTCCAAAAAATCAGGAAAACCAACTGCTGAAGACGGATCACTCTTCACCACGACAATGCGAGCTCTCACACATCGGCTCAAACAACTGCATTTCTGAGCACTCAAAACAACGATATGACAGGTCATCAGCCATGGATTTCCCGGGTGACT